ACTGATATGAATAAAAATGAATAAGTCTCAATGCCACAGCACTCTCTTGAGCTAATAGTCCTCTGCTGGCAGAGAAAAAAAGACAGAGATTGAGAGTGTGTGAGTTAATAAGCTGAGGTAAACATGTGTGTTTGCATGTGTATGGGCGTGCTGGCTTCTGTGATGGAAAAAAATGAAGTGTGAAATGAGGAGGGGAAGAGTGTTAATTGAGTATGATTACACCTTCAACATATTTCTTGCCGTGAAAAAAACAGAATCATCCTCCCCACTGTCCACACAGGCAGAACATCCTCAGGGGTTTCTCATACCTCTAGATTTTTCCTGCAATAGCCTGATTCACAAACTGCTGGGAAAATTCATCGCTCCCATCCTACTCCATCTTAGAGCTTCAAATGTGTTTGCGGTTAAAATGAGAGGGAAGAGAAGGAAGAGGAGGAGGAGGAACTGTCAAAAACGTAGGCTCTCATTTGAACACAACAATGCATTTTTTATTGTCCCCTCACCACAACCTAGAAAAAAAATGCTGCAAATTATTGAATTGTGCTTGGGGTCAGATCCTGCTTTTAGCATTATTGTGTTTCTGGAAGGAGTAAATAATTAACATATTTCAAGAAACTGTACTTATTAAAAGGTCTTTCATTGGTTTCTTTTTCCTTTCTTTCTTTCTTTCTTTTTTTTTGCATCTGTTCAATCAAGTTTTACGAGGGCAGTCAGATTGCTTGTGCGCCTATTCACGTCTTGAATGTGAGGTGGAAGGAATCACTGATGCAGTGACTGCATGTCTGTGTCAGCCTCCTGTGTGTGCATGCAGAGTTATGGCAATCAACGCTGGATAATCCTAGGTGTGATGACTTGAAGATTTTATGAATATTAAACACCAAACACCAGCAATTAAAAGAGGTTAAGTGGTGACCCAATCCGCAGGTAGGTTATACTGTAGTGAAAATGAAGCCAGTTGTAGATGCCCACTGCAGTTGGACTATATTAGTCTACGCAGAGGTCTAGGCTATGCATCCTCCCTCCCTCTCTATCTCTCCCCCTCTCTCTCTCTCTCACTTATCCACTCCCGCCGTGGTGGTGAGCCTGCGACGTTGGATGGAAAAAAAGCTCCCTTTTTGTTCCCTCGACGCACGATTTGGAGGAAAAATGAGTGAAGGTACTGTACAAAAATTGCCCCTTTTCATCTTTTATATTTTTTAATTATTTATTTATTTTAACCCAACCTGGTATGATAAAATATATGCACGCGACGGCAACGGGAGGACGCACCTGCACCACAGACTCCCAACGCTTTGCTAGGTTGAGTCCTCTTGGTGCAACAGAAGCCCCATATGGCAGATTTCATGAGGTCATGGAAGCACGCTTTTCCCTGTTTGTGGTTTGAATTATCCGCGATGAGGAGCAAAGTTAGGTTTTAGAAATATGTACGTGCAATCGGGAGAATTTTATTGCTGGGTATTAGCGCGCATTTTCTTCGGGGTTTTTTTTCTTTTCTTTTTGGTACAGTTGTCGTTCATAAGGTGGTATTCCTGCGCGACTGGCTTTAGAAGTGATTAAAATCTGTGGCGGTAGATTTAGAGTGTCACATGAAGCTTGGCTGGTATTTATGCTGGATTCTGCGGAGATAGGATGGCCGGGCAGAGTACGCGCCATGGACAGATGTGCGCGAGGGGATTTAGTGTCGAGGGAGGGAATCGCTCAGGGCATAAAACTGACTGTGCGTGCGCGCGCGCGTGTGCTCTAGCTTGTGGGTTTTTCTTTTTTTCTTTTTTTTTCTTTTTGGAGGGTGAATGGATGGACCAGCTACTCTGTTGCGCTACAGACACCTCTCTGTTCTTCTACCTGCAGTCAGGGCTTTGGCTTAAGCTGCCTTTAGTTTCACTGTGCTCGCGCGTGTGTGAGTTAGCGATTGAGGGAGAGACACAGA